TCAGTAGATTGCAAAATTAAATTTACAATAGGAAAATTTAGCATTTTTAAAAAAAATATTTTTTTGAAAATTCTTGCAAAAAAAAAAATAATATCAATTTTTAATTAAATTTTTGACACTTATTCACAAATGAATTAAATTTTTTTTTTTTTTTTTTTAAATTTTGGTTTAAATAATTTTTTTTTTTACATCTTTTTTTGTCCCCCACTTTACTTTAATTTTATGAAATTTTGAAAATTAAAAATTTGTTTGATCCAAGTTTATTTTTATATTAGTTAAAAGCAGGACTCCTTTTCAGAATTTAAATCATCAATTTTTTTTTTTTTAGAAACATTTTTACCAAAAAATCTGCTCTGAATCATAAAATAAAAAATGCAATAAAACTAAAGACATTATTTAATTAGAAAAAAAGCTTTTAATTGCTTTTATAAATAAGATATATTAAGGACACTATTGTCTTAAGAAAAAAAATTTTTGATGAATAATGAATTTTTAAAGAATTGTTTTTTTTTTTTTTTTTTAATTAAAAAAATTTATTAAGTTTTAAATCTTTTAAAATTCTGTATTAATTTTTAGCCAGTTATGATATTATTATTAAGTAAAAAAATTATATTTACTAATCATAAATGGAAAAAAAAAATACAATTCAAATCATTAAACACCAATATTTTTAAAAATTTTTTTAAAAAATTTTTTTTTTTATGTGTATAAACGTGCCAATTTTTGTAAATACAGATGACCATACACAACATTATCAGAAAATAAGAGCAATAACTATAGTAAATTTAAAGTTTAAAAATTTTAAAATTCAATAAAACATTAGATTACAGAGAATATTTTCCTAAATTTTTTAAGATTACTGAGTACTTAAAAATTATATAAAAAAAAATCACATTTTTTATTCAAATTATTTTTTATGGATAAAATTTCCATAGAACAAATGTAGATGGTCATCAACAATGTGTCAAACAAAAAACAACTACTACTCATGTTAAAAAATGCATTTCTGAATATTTTTAAACTTAAAAATAATATTTGTTTCAAATCAGATTAATTATACTTTAAATCAGCTAATATTCCTCAAATAAAGTTTCAGAAAAGTATATTTTATTTTTTGAAGATTTTTTTAATAAAGAATTATATTGTGAATGAATGATGACTAAAAAAAATGATGTAATCAGCTATTTTAGCAAAAAAAAAAACTCAAAAGTCAATTTAAATTAAATTTTTTGAAATACAGTAAAAGTATTTTGCTTATTGGAAATATTAAATTTAATCTATTAGCTTGAAATTAAAACTAAAATAAAAAAAACTTCAAGAAAGATTTTTCATTTTTAAAAAAATCATTTTAAACCTTATCGAAAAATATTTCAAAATTTATTTTTTTTTAACAAATATTTTAAAACATCATTTTTATCTTTTTCATTTTTAGATTTTTTCAATTTAATAAAAAATATATTATAATCAATCCATTAATATTCAAAAAAGTTTTAAAAATTGAATCATTTATATTTCAAAATTATGATATATCAATTTTTTTTTATTTTAATTGGATAAATAGACTGATTTTTTAAGTTAAAATGTTTTTTCTTTATTTAAAATTAAATCTAAATTTTTATATTTGCTGACTGAAAATTATTGATCCTGGGGTTGATAAATTTTGTTTAAAAATTTTTCTTTTAAATTTTAAAAATTTACTATTCCCATTTAATTTTTTTATATGATTTTTATTTTTTTTTTTTAAATTGAATAAAATAATATATATTTTTTATTTTAAAATTTTTTTCAAATTGATTTTTTTTATTACAAATTTATCTATTTTTTCTTGTTTTTTTTTTTCTTTATGAATTATAAAATTTTTTGTTTGTTTAAATATAAATTTTCATGATTTTCTTAAAAAAAGATTTTTTTTTTACATTTTTTTAAATTTTTAAATTAAAAAAGTTTTTAAAAATTAAAATAAATTTAATTTAAATTTAAATTAAATTTAAATTTTTTTTTTTTTTTTAAAAATTTTTAATTTGGTTTTTTTTGAATTTTAAAAAAAAATAAAACAAATTTTTTGTTTTCCTTTTTTTTTAAGTTCTTTTTTTTTTTTTTTTTTTTTTTTTTTTTTTTAATTTCTTTATTTTTCTTTTTTCTACCTTTTTTTTCATTTTAAAAAAAATTTTATTTTTTTCTTAAATTTTACATTAGTTTTAAAATAAAAATATTTATGATTGATTTTTGAAAGAAGACATTTTCAACTGAAGATGTTTTCTTTCATAAAAAAAATTGAAAAAAAAGAAACATTTCTTTTTTTTTTTTTTTTTGAAATCAAAAATGATTCTTTTTTTTTTCTCTTTTCTTCAAATTTTTTATTTAATTTTAATAAAACATTTTTAATTCTTAAACATCCTTTTTCAATTTTTTTTTTCTTTTTTATTTAAAATATTAAATTTAAAATAATTCCAAAAACAATATTAAATGCTCTAAAAATAGATTTTAATTAATTAAAAATTCTTTTTAAAATAATTGTTTTTAATAAATTGGTGCTTATTTTTTTTAAAATTCCATTTCATTTTTTTTATATTCTTTCTTTTTTTTTCCATGTTTTAGTTACAAGACAAAGAGATTTTTTCTTCTTATTAAGAATTTTTTAAAAAAAAATAAAATTTCAATCTTTCAATTTGAAAATGTCTTTTTTGAATTCAGCTTTTTTTTTCAGTTTTCCCATCTCATTTTTCTGTTTTTTTAATTTTCTAATAACTTTATTTTTTGTTTTTCAATTGGGTATTTTGTTCCTTATCAACTTTGTTTCAAAATTTTTGTTTCTAAAAAATTTGAGTTTCTATTTTTTCTTTTCTTTTCTTTCCTGCTTTTTCTTTCTTTTTAAATCAAATTTTCTTTAAAAGGTAATTTTTTTCTTTTTTTGCTTTCCGTTTTATCTCATTTTTTTTTCTTTTCTTCAAAAATTTTCTTTCATTTCTTCTTTTTCTTCTCATATTTTTTTAATTAAAATTTTATCATGTTTTTTTTCCAAATTGTTCTTTCTTCAACAATTCGCTTTGTTTAATTTTTTCCTTCCAGAATCTCAAAAAACAGGGTTCTTTTTTTTTGTTTTCTTTTTTCTTCTCATTTTTCACTTTTTTCTTTTCTTCTCATTTTTTTTTTTTTAAAAATCATCTTTTTTTTATTTATCTTTTATTTCATTTTTCTTTTTACTTTCTTTCTCTTTTAAAAATTCAAAAATTTAATTCTCATTTTTTTTTTCAAAAAAAAAAATTTCTTTCATTTTTTTTCTTCTCATTTTCTCTTTTCTGGGGTTTCATTTTCTTTTTCTTTCTTCTAAAATTTTTTAAAAATTTTTTTCATTTTCTTTTTCTTTTTTCTTTTTTTTCAATTTTCCTCTTTTTTTTCTTCTCTTTTCCCATTTTTTTCTTTTTTTTTTATTTTTTTCTTTTGTTTTTTTTTTCTTTTTTCCAACAAACCAATTTTTGGTTAAAATGATCTGCATTTTTATTTTTTCCTTATTCATTTTTGTTCATTCTATCTCCAATTTTATATTATTTGCTTCATTCATTTTTTCTTCATTCCCCAAATGCAAATTATCTTCAAAAATTTCTCCTTATTCCTAATTTCCTCTTTTTTGCCCTCAATTTTATTTTCTCCACTTTGAAATTCTCTTAGTATCTCCCTTAAACATAGAACAAATCCTGATGATTGGCCTTTTTCATCTACCCTCTGTTTTTTTTTTCTTGTTTTCGTTTGGTGTTTCATTTCATTACATCATTGCAGGGTAACATTCACTGACATGTAACACATTAAACTTTTTTCTTTTCTTTAAATGAATATAAAAAATTTTTTTTTTTTTTTCTTTATTTTATGTAAATTTTTTTAAATTTTTTTTTTAATAATTTATATAAATATTTTGCTTTAAATATATTTTTCCAATCATGTTTTAATCTTTTGTGTAATTCAACCAATCCAATTTGCTTATTCAGTTTAATTTTCTTTTTTCTTTTTCTCAATAAATCTTGGGGCTTTTATTAATTTTTTTCTTTTCTATAAAAAAAATTTTTTTGTGTACTAAAATAGAATTCAATTACTTTTATTAATTTCTTTAATTGTTAATTTTTTATCAGATATTCTTAAAAAATGTAAATTAACAGGCTAACTTTATTTTCTGAATTATAAAAATTTATATTTTTTTTTAAAAAAAAATAGTTCAAGAATTTAAATTCTTTAAATTTTCAACAGAAAATTAAACATTTCTGTATTTTTTTTTTTAAAATTTTTTGTTAACTTTTTTTTTTTTTGTCTTTTTTTTTTTTTAATTCTTTTCCAAAAAATTGCATCTTTTTTCCATCTTCATTCCTGTTTTTTTTCCTTGCTCTCTTATTTCCATCATATTTTTTCTTTTATCATCAGTATTTCTTTTTCATCTTTTTTAAAATTTCAATAACATTTTTCATTTGCCTATATTTTATTCCAAAGATTTCTTTCGTCCTCATTATTTTTCTTTCTTTTGATTTCCAAAATATTTTAATCTTAATTCTTTCTAAATTTAATATTTTTTGAAATCATCTTTATTTAAACGTTTTTCTTTTCTTTCCTGTTTCATTGCTATCTTTAATTCTTTTTTTTTTCATTTTCAATTCTTTCATTTAAAATTGCTTTTCATCTTTTCTTGTTCTTTTCAAATCTTTTTGTACTTTTTTTTAATAATTTAATTTTCTAAAGAATTTCATTCATCTTAAAATTTTTTAAAATCTTCATTCCTTCCATTCATTTTTCAAAAATCCATCAATTGTCTTTTTCCATCAATTCATCTTCTTTCCATTTGATCTTTCCTTATCACTTCTTTCTTGGTATTTCCTCTTTGTCAATTTTTGTCTTTTTATCATTTTTGCTTTCTTTCTTATTTTTATTCCATCATCAATTCAAATCCTTTCTTTTTCCATCATTTTTTTTTTTTTTTCCATCTCTTGTTATTCCATCATCTTTTGCAATTCTTTTTAATGTTTCTCTTCTTCCATCTGCTCCTCAAATTTTCATCTTTGTTCTTTTGCCATCATTTTTCACCATCTTCTTTTCAACATCTTTTTATTCCCAATTCTTTTCCATCAAAAAACCTTTCTTCTTTCTTCATTTCTTTTCCATCTTCATTTTCATCATCTTCTTTTGTCCTCATTCCTCTTTATTTCCAAAATGGCATCTTCTTTTCATTTTTTGCAAAATTTTTTTTGCATCTTCTTTCCATCATTTTTTTCTTTCCAATTTTTTTTCATCTTTCTTCCATCCATTTTGATCTTCTTTTTTTATTTTTCTTCTTTTTCTCATCTTTTTTCATTTCTTCTTCCATCTTCATTCCTTTTTCTTTCATCCTCTCTCTTTTTCTCTTCTTTCCATCATCTTTTGCATCTTCTTCCATCATTTTTTTGCTCTTCTTCCATCATCTTTTTTCTTTTTTCATCTTCATTTTGTCTCTTCTTTCCATCATCTTTTCATCTTCTTTCCATCATTTTGCATCTTCTTTCCATCATCTTTTGTATCTTCTTTCCATCTTCATTCGTCTTCTTCCAATCCTCATTCCTCTCTTTTTCCATCATCTTTTGCATCTTCTTTCCATCATCTTTGCTTCTTCTTTCCATCATCTTTTGCATCTTCTTTTTGCATTCATTTTTCTTTCTACCATCCTCATTAATCATCTTTTTGCATCTTCTTTCCATCATCTTTGCATCTTCTTTCCATCATTTTTTATCTTTTTCCATTTTCCTCTCTTTCCATCCTCATTCCTCTCTTCTTTCCATCTTTTCCTCTTTCTTTCCATCATCTTTTGCATCTTCTTTTCCATCATTTTTGCATCTTCTTTCCATCTTCTTTCTTCTTTCGTTTTTCCTCTTCTTTCCATCATCTTTTGCATCTTCTTTCCATCATCTTTTGCATCTTCTTTCCATCATCTTTTGCATCTTCTTTCCATCTTTTCTCTTTTCTTTTTCCGTCTTCATTCATCTTCTTTTTCCATCATTCCTTTTTCTCCTTTCCCATTTTCTTTCATCATTTTTTTGCATCTTTTTCCATCATCTTTTTTCATCTTCTTTCCATCATCTTTTCTTTCTTTCCATCACTTCTTTTAACTTTTCTTTCCATCTTCATTCCTCTTTCTTTCCATCCTCATTCCTCTCTTCTTTCCATCATCTTTTGCATCTTCTTTCCATCATCTTTTGCATCTTCTTTTGATTCTTCTTTCCATCATTATCTTTTTGTATCTTTCCATCTTCATTCTTTCTTTCCGTCCTCATTCCTCTCTTCTTTCCATCTTTTTGCATCTTCTTTACATCATCTTTGCATCTTCTTTCCATCATCTTTTATCTTCTTTCCATCTTCATTCCTCTCTTCTTTCCGTCCTCTTCCTCTTTCTTTTTCCATTCTTTTCCATCTTCTTTCATCATCTTTTTTCTTCTTTCCATCATCTTTTTTCTTTCCCTCTTCCTTTCTTCGTCCTCATTTCCTCTTTTTCCATCTTCATTCCTCTCTTCTTCCGTCTTAAATTTCAACCTCCATCATCTTTTCTTCTTTTTATCATCTTTTGCATCTTCTTTCCATCATCTTTTTTTCTTCTTTCCATCATCTTTTGCATTCTTTTCCATCTTCATTCCTCTCTTCTTTCCGTCCTCTTCTCTTCTTTCATCATCTTTTTGCTCTTTCCATCATTTTTATCTTCTTTCTTCATTCCTCTTTCTTTCCTCATTCCTCTTCTTTCCATCATCTTTTGCATCTTCTTTCCATCATCTTTTTGCATTTCTTCAACGAATTCATTCCACTCTTCTTTGTCCATTCCTGACTTCTTTCATCCTCTTTCCATCTTCTTTTTCTTTGGGATTCTTTCCATCATCTTTTGCATCTTCTTTCCATCTTCATTCCTCTTCTTTCCGTCCTCATTTCCGTTTTTCTTTGCAATGTCTTTCCATCATCTTTTGCATCTTCTTTCCATCTTCATTCCTCTCTTCTTTCCGTCCTCATTCCTCTCTTCTTTCCATCATCTTTTGCATCTTCTTTCCATCATCTTTTGCATCTTCTTTCCATCATCTTTTGCATCTTCTTTCCATCTTCATTCCTCTCTTCTTTCCGTCCTCATTCCTCTCTTCTTTCCATCATCTTTTGCATCTTCTTTCCATCATCTTTTGCATCTTCTTTCCATCTTCATTCCTCTCTTCTTTCCGTCCTCATTCCTCTCTTCTTTCCATCATCTTTTGCATCTTCTTTCCATCATCTTTTGCATCTTCATTCCATCTTCATTTCCATTTTTTACGTCCTCATTCTCTCTTCTTTCCATCATCTTTTGCATTTCTTTCCATCAAAAAATCTTCTTTCCATCTTCATTCCTCTCTTCTTTCCGTCCTCATTCCTCTTCTTTCCATCATCTTTTGCATCTTCTTTCATCATCTTTTGCATCTTCTTTCCATCTTCATTCCTCTCTTCTTTCCGTCCTCATTCCTCTCTTTCTTTCCATCATCTTTTTGCATCTTCTTTCCATCATTTTTGAATCTTTTTTTCCATTTTTTCCTCTCTTCATCGAAGATCTTTTGCATTTCTTTTTATCATTTTTTTCTTTCCATCATCTTTGCTTTTTCTTTCCATCATCTTTTGGTCTTCTTTCCATCATCTTTTGCATCTTTCTCTTCATTTTCTTCTTTCCTCTTTTATCAACTTCATCTTTTGCCTCTTCTTTCCATCTTCATTCCTCTCTTATTCGTGCTCATTTCCTTCTTCTATCCACCATCTTTCCTCTCTTCTTTTTTGCTCATCTTTTTCTTTGAATACTCTTCTTTTATAATCGTTCTTTTCTTTCTTTTTCTCTCAAAGAAACGATTTTCCTTTCTAAATTTTGTTCTTTTCTCTTCATTTTTAGTTGTCTTTTGCCCTTTTCAACTGACATTCTTTTCTTATTATTCCTTTCTTTTCTTTCCGAATAATCTTACTTTTTGTTTTTCTTCTTTCTTTTGCATAGTTAATTTTTCTTTCTTTCCCTTTTTTTATTTTTCTTCTCTCCTTGCTTACGTTTCTCTTTTTCCTTCATCTCTTCTGAATATGTCATTCTTCTGCACTTTGTTTTCTTTGACTAGTTTGGGGACTCAAGACAGGTCATTGATACAACAAACTGGATTTTGTTGACACTGCTGACCAAACGGATTAGACAGAATAAAAGAGAGAAACATGAAGGTTGAAGGTAACCTTTGTGATAAACTGACTGCACTATTTTTGAGAATTTTTTTATTGGAGCATATTAGTTCTATCTTGTTAAGAGAATAGAAAAATAAATCTTTTTTTGAATAAACTATCTTGTTTAAAAATGGAAAATATCCTTTGATCTAAAACCAAAAATTTAAAAAAGAAATGATGTAATATAATTATATATATTATGCCTTTAAATTCCTTGAAGAACATAGGGCTGCAAGATATCATTGCAGTTTCTGTAACAAGCCATTTTTTAAGTGAGTAGGTTGTGAGCCTACTGCACAAGCCCCCAACCTGGAGGATCAGGTTGTGAATTCAGTGTTGTCTTTCTCCTAGACCAGTTTCCACCCAAGGCTATAGAACCTGATCTGTCCTGATATTTGCCCATAGCTGAGGGGAGAAGAAGAAGATTCATACCTTTCCTGAGGGTATTAGCATGTAAGTGAATGTAATGGATTCAACTGGAATTCAAAATTGGCTCTCTGATTCCTCAGTTCAAGCTGCTATCCATGACTCCACCATGCCTCTTGTATAATATAATTAGTTGTGTATTTAGTCAACATGTTTCATCCTTGGTGCACTTTTCAAGGCAAAAAAAATGAAAGGAATTTATTGAAACAAAATATCTATAAACAACAAACAAAATGTCATTAGCAACTAGAAGAATTTAGAAACACTATTGTATATTCATATCGTCAACTGAAAAATTATCTCAATTACTTTGTTTGAAGAGTATATTTTCATGTGTAGAAATATTCTTTGTATTGTTGTGTTGATGAATTCAACCATTTTCTTTTGATTCCTTGATATATTTGTGTACATTGGCTTGGGAGAGTAGTGATTCTGTTAGTAAAGGTGATATTGGAAAAAAAACTTAGGCATAGATTAATATTTGGATAATATTCAATGTCAGCACTCTTGAGGATTTTCCTTCTGAGGGAATTATTTTCTTTTTTTTATGAGTGTAACATTTATAAAATCAAAGTTAAAATTCAACCAATACAGTTTTCGTACTGTCTTTTTCCTTAATACATAATTAGTTATATATACTTATTAATATTACTTAAAACATTACTTTTAGTAGATACCTGTATTTAAGTAGACATTCTGTTTAAATAGTATTTTTGTTTCATCTCCCAACCTGCATACTAGAGAAAACTTAATAAAGAGAATGTGTCCTCTGGCAGGATTTGAACTTGTATCTCTCTTTGTTGGAAGAACTACCATCTGATACACCTGAAACTTGTTTATTAGGAAGCTCTTCGTAGCCAAAAGATAAAAATAAAGAGGGATGTGGTTTGTGAAAGGAGCTTGTAAAACCTTGTATCTCTATACCAAATTCCTGTGTGTGTATGTTCATAATTAAATCTAAATAAATGGCACATTTTGTCTGTCCATCCATATATTCAAAACCCCTCTAACTCAGGCCACAGTCAGGATGATCCCTGGATTAAAAATATGTCATTCATCTGGTGCTTGAAAATTTAAAATCTCTCCAAAACTTTGTGCATTGAGGAAATCAATTTTATTTCTTTAAAAGGGCAAGGAATCAGATTAAAAGTGAAAGATTTCATGACATGATGTTTTGAAATTCCATGGAGTTTATGATTTGAAAAACTCAATGTTTGGTCTAGATTGGAATTTGGGCCCAACTCGGAATTCTACCCCAAATCAGACTTTTGGCCAGATATAGCATGAATCAGAGTTTAGGTGAGGTTTTGAAGTGAATTGAGGAATTCAAAGTTATTTCTTCAAAATTATCATTGCTGTTTTCAAAGCTAGACCAGAGGACCCTTTAATTGTGGGCCAGAGGGCCAATTAGCCTTTCAATGGAGCTAGCTTAAATGTATGCACAAAGTGCAGCTTTAAGCTAGTTCAAAATAAATGTGATATGTATTAATAAGTTCAAATAGGTTTATCTTACCTGATAAGCAAACCTGTGTCTGTGAAACTTCAAATCAAAATAAATATTTATATTTTTATTCATCAACCTATGTAGATAGATACTAATAAATTTAAATTTGTTCCTCCTGTGGTACAACTCTGAGTATCATTCATATAGTAAATTAAATTTCAGTTCTGTTATTTTACATTAAGCACTGTTTTATCACCACCAGCACTCACTGTGTGCTATTTATATATATATATATATATATATATATATATATATATAAAGGAAAGGTATGTATCCTCTTTATCTCCCTCCAGCTATGGGTAAAATAGCAGGACAGACTGGGTTCTATAGCCTTGGATGGCAAAAAATCTAGGAGAAGGACAACTCTGAATTCAAAACCTGGGGAGGGTCGTTTGGGAACCTTGTTGCATGCATTCAGTTTACCAGGTTTCTTTATTCGTCCCTCAAAAAGTGTGGCTGGTCCTGCATGAGGCCTTCACCACTATAAACAAATCTCATGTGCGGTGTGGGATGTCGGTTTCCTGGGGACTTATCTGTAAATGACCCTCATACGTCGAACTACTGACGGAGTAATCTATTATTTATATATATATATATATATATATATATATATATATATATATATATATATATTAAAATAATTGTTGAACTTTATCTATTTCAAAATATATATATATATATATAAAATAATTGTTGAACTTTATCTATTTCATAATATATATATATATATATATATATATATATATATATATTAAAATAATTGTTGAACTTTATCTATTTCATAATATAATATATATATATATATATATATATATACACACAGGGTGTGGTAAAAATACCTCCCACATAATGGTAAGATGTTAGCTAGGGGAAGATACCATTGCCTCAACGTTATGTGGTAGGTATTCTGAGAGACATATGTGGGTAGTATTTCTGCTGCACCCTGTATAACACTGGGCACTGAGGTCAGCACCAAGTGGCAAG